AGCAGACAGGAATGAAAATCCAAGTGTGCCTGCCCATACCCAGCATAGAGCTGGGGTCGAGATCTATCCAGGAGCCTCCCAACCTGCCATCCGTCATTAGGGACTCACTGCAGATCTGGATAATTGATGAATCTGCCTCTGCCTCTTCTGCTAAATGCTTGTGACCCACGGCCAGGTGAATTCCTTATCATGTAAAGACTGTCCACTGAGTACCATGTACTGTTCAATGTCCTGGGCAGAGACTGATCAACAAAAAGCCTGAAGCAGCCTCCATGGAAAGCCTCCTCGGCATCACACCCTAGATCCTTTTCCTCTTCTTCCGTCCTACCTTCCTGGGAGCTGCCCCTCTCCCTGCGCTAGTGCCCACGCTTAGGAAGAGGCTCTCTCCCACCTTCACCTGATGACTAGGAAGTGGGTGGGCCTGCTGGTCTCAGAGTCACTTCATCCAGGCTGCGGAAAGTGAGCCTAGGAAAGCAATAACTCCAAAGTCTCCGGCATCTTCTGGACATTTGAGATCCAGCTCCTGGCTGAGCCGATGTGACTCGGTGACTCTCCGTGTCTCCCACAGGCAGCTGGGAGAGCCATGCCTCACAGAAGAGTAGCTGGGGGTCTTAGGCACCACCGAGGTTTCCAGTAACCCTTGTGTGACATCATCGCTGACATAGCTCCGTTCTGTGGGCCCCGCTTACATTCAAACATGGCCACGATGAAAACATGGGGGCCATTTAGGGATGTGGGAATTCCTTAAGAAACACAAGTCGATGTGTCTTTTACCATCAAGGTGCCTCATGGAAGAGAAACGCTCACACACGGCTAAATTGCTGCGATGAAATGTTGTTTTCTCTTCCTCATCCGCGCCAGGTCACGTTTCTTTGTTTTTGGCATTTTTATTGGACTCTGAAGTGAACTGTGTGGGAAGAATTAGGAGCGGCGCTGCAGGACCAGAGGCAGGCTGCATTCCAGGCATTCTAACCCGGTGTCCCACCGAGGGGCGGCATACCTAGTTCATGACTTATCAGGGTCTTGGGCTTAGAGATGGGAACCCATTGGGCGCTTTCTGCAAATACTGAGCCAACAAGCTGTGAGCCCCTGGGGAGGCTGCATTTCTAACGGCCCCAGCTCCCCTTGCCCGACAGTGTGGGCGCAGGACGGGTGCCCTCCACCTCAACTCTTAGCACACCCTGGGACGTCCTATTCTGTTTGCTCGTCTCTCTCCTCGAGGGAGGGGGTTCCGAGGGCTGTGCCCAGCAAGCGGCAGGTGCCACCGCGTGTTTACGGAGAGACATGCTTGAGACGGTTTGCGGGAGAAGTTAAGTTCACAACTGTTAGGCTTCAAATTTGGCAACAGGAGACAACCTTATCTTCAGCCAACTGTTTCTCTCCATGCTTCGGGAGGGAGGCTGGGAGGATGGAAGTCTAGGGGACCAAGATGTGGGATGGGGGCTGGGGCTGCAGCTGCGGCTTCCTTCCCCGCCCCGCGGCCAGAGCCCCGCGCCTCACCCCTCCCACCGCTCCCTCCTCACTAACCATCAGTAGCAGGAATTGGAAAAATATCTTTCATCCTTCATACTTCTCTACACTCTTTACTTTAAAATAATGAGTGTACATTCATCGTAAAGTCAGGAAAAGAATTACTGTTGCTCCATCTGAGCCAAGAGTCTATTTTTGTTTTGTTGTCTATTTTGGGGATTAGATATAGACTAGAGGTGACATAACAGCCCAAGGCCTTTATTTACTATTTCTTCTCCCATCCCCGCCTGCCCATCCTCCCCCTCCCCCTCTGTCACAGGTGTGTTCAGCCCTGGGTCTTTCTAACCACTGCACAAAGGCACGCTTCTAAAGGCACCGAAATTCTAAGTATTTCACGATTTCATGGTAGCGTGGCTAGCCATTTATTTTCTTATTCTGACAGGCAATTTGCTTTTTATTATTTTCATAATTGTATAAGCAACATATAGTCTTTGTAAAACATGTAATATTAAAAATTACAAGGATAGGAGAAAAATTCACCTCAGAGTCTGTCATGTTGCGACTGCCACTATGGTACGTTTACACATCTTTCATGCATGTAAGTGCAGACATAATTTTATATAAGGTGAATGCTGCATACTAATGAATGACATAGATGTTCCCCAATTTGCACATCTGTTCCTCTATTACTAGGTTTGCCTTAATTTACACTTTTCCTCGCTATAAAACGTTGCTGCAGTAAACATTCTTACACACCTTCCTGTGTATTTCAAGACTTCCTTTTCACTAGGAAGGGTGTCTAAATGTGAGCTAGTGAAATCAAAGATACGTTTATTTTAAATTTATACATATTGCCACATTACCCTCAAAATAAGTTGTAAGAACTTACGTTTCTACCAAAAATATGTGAGAAAATTCTTTCCCACGCGCTCTTCGCAGTGGCAGATAGAATCACTATTTTGTGCTTTTGCTAATCCTTCAGGGGTGAGACATGCCATTTCACTGTGACTTTAACTTGCATTTTCCTAACTACTTCATGAGATTAAGTCTCCATTTTTTCCATTTACTGATTTATGTTTAATTATTAAATATTTCTATTATATAGCGAATTTAAGAAAAATAAAACATACTCATCTGCTCCTCCTCACCAGGATGAAACAGCTGTTTAACATTTGGCCGTAACGGCTTGCCTTTTCCCCCCCTTTATTTTCAATCAACACCTCTCTCTCCCTTTCTCTTTCTTCATCTGTTTTAAGGAATTCAACCCTACAAGCCCCTCCTCACTTCCTACCCGCTCCATCCAGAGTCGTGCCTATCAATCAGTCCACGAGATTCTTTTTTAAAACTTTTACTTTGTATCTTATCTATGCACAAACAAAATACGTAATTGCCTTGAGTTATAAAAATATGTACCGTCTTTTAAATTCAGCATTACACTTTTGGAATGTGTGCATGGTGCAACAAGATGACCTTAAGGGCTGCAAAATGTTTCTTTGTGGGACTAAATCAGTTTATTCATTTCTTGACTGAAGGGTGCTTAGACCTGTTCCCCTGTCTCACTGCTCCAAGCGGGATGACTCTCCCACCTGTCTTCTTGTGCACACGTGGGAGCTTTGCTAGGACAGACACTGAGCGTTGGGGGTCACTGAGTCACACGGTTGGTACATCTTTGATGTGGCGGGACATTGCCTAATATTCTCCAAGAATAACTGTCTTGTTTCCCACTTGCAAGGGAAGAGCCCGTTTCCCCATATTTGCAATCACAATTGCGTTACCAGACTTAGTAAATCTGAGTGACAGACGTTACCTTGCTTCAACTTTGCGTTTCCCTTAATCACTCATGAAGTTCAGTCTTCTCTTACATGTCTAATGCCACTTGAGTTCGATGAAGTGACAGTTCAAACTCTGGTCATTTATCTACTGAGTTGTATTTTTCTTAACGATTTTTATGAATCTTCTTACATCTGAATATTCTCTCTGAATATCACTTTGTTGGGTATATAAATTGAATTGCAAATATTTCTACCAGTTTTTAGGTTGTCTTTTCCATTTCTTTAAGCTGATTATTATTATTATTTTTTAGTGAGCTCAAATATAACCATTTTTTCCTGTATGGTTTGTGGTCTTTGTGCCATGTTTAAAAACTCCTTCCCTGACTTAATTTCATAAATCTATTTTCCTAGATTTTTTTCAAGGTATTTCACATATGTTGCTTTTTGACACTCAGATATTTTCATCCGTGTGGAATCCATCTTTCACATATTGTGTAAGATCAAGATGTAATTTCTTCTTTTCCTTTGTATTTCCCCCAGCACTATTTATCGGAAGTCTGTCTGGCCCCCATGATTTGTAATGCTGACTCTTTCGAATGACAGTCTCTGGCTCGCTTTGGTGGCACGTACGGCAAAAAATCTTTTCTGAATATGTGTGTATTTCTAGGTTCTTGGTTGTGTTCTGCCATTCTGCCAGTCCCATAGTTTTAATTATAAAGTTTCCAGATGCCTGGTAGATTGGCTGTTTCATCTTTTTCCTCCTTCTCTTCTTCCTCTTTTTTTTTTTTAAATGTTGTATTACACTGGATGTATTGGCCTTTCTTTTTCTTTTTCTTCTTCTGCAGGAAATTTGGGATCACCTTGTCAATTCCCTAAAAAAACTCTCCTACAATCATTTTCACATCAACTTAATTCAGATATAATTTATGCAAAACATAACTTAAAGAACCCATCTGAAGTGAACAGTTTCATGAGTTTTGTCATTTGAATACACCTTTGTGACCTTGAAGTTTTAAAATCCAGCTTGTCATTTGATTCTTTTGTAGATCATCCTTTTAAGTCCAGAAACCAAGACATCTATGCTTAACTCAAGAGCACAAAACTTTCTCCCATGTACACTTTAAATATGTGTAGTTTATTTTGTCAGTGATAGCTCAGTAAATCTATAAAAAGTAGCAATGCTCTATGTTTGATGGAAGAGTTTCAGAGTGATTTTAGCCTACTATTTTGCTAGACTCCAAATGGTTCTCTTTCAACAGGGAAAGATTTGAATTGTTAAGCATTTACTAGAGGGTTGAGCATATTAAAATACTAATTTAATTTTGGAAGAATTTAAAAAGGAAATAATAAGAGTGTTTAAGAGGACAATACATACAGGGTTTTGTGATGAGACCTGAGCTCAAATCCTGGTTCTGTCATTTCCGTCCTGTGTGTTCTTAGATAAGTCACTTACCTTCTCTGAGTCCCAGTTTCTTAATCTATAAACCAGGAATAATATCCACAAAGCATAGGTTTATAATGATTCACAAAAAACACTGTTTGCAAGGAACCTTCTAGAGAGCCTTGCCTAACACACAAGGCCAAGAATTATTAGTTTCCTTTTTTACTTCACGTAAGCAGACCCCCGACAGGGACACCCTTGAGCGTGCGTTTTCTGGCTGCAACACAACATGGCCCTCAGGAAGGAGAGAGCTCCCAAACTCCGAGAGTAGGTTCCACAAATCGTTCAGTTACAAAGTTGGCCTGGGCCGTTCAGTGTTCAGAGCAAAGTCATTTTTATTGTAATGAAATTTTAAAAGGCAGTTACATTAGTTACACATATACACAACTGACTTAATAACTGTTAGTCATAGAGCACATTCAAGAAATACGAATGGTTTATCCACAGCACAGTTCACATCCATAAGAAGAAAGGTTAAGAGAGCAACGACTGAGTGCTTAAACTGCCCGCTGAAGCGCGTCTGTGGACGCTCTCGGTTCCGAGGGAGAGCGAGGTTGTTAGGAAGCAAGCTGCCCTGTTCCCACGAGACCTGCTTTGGCCACTTTCCCCTGTGTGTGAAAACGGGCCTGCATCAGGGTGCGACGCCTCTTTAAAGTGGCCCAGACCCTAGGCAGCCAGGCCCCTTAGTACACAGCAGGAGGCTCCGGTCGGGGTGGCATGGGGCTGCCCTGGCAGGTCAGGTCACAGCGACCTCATGACCAAACCCGTACATTCTATGAAAACAGGGAGCGTTTCCATCCTGCCTTGCTACTGGCTGGAGCTGCTAGATAATCGGCTTGCTCTTGCTTATGTGACAAGTCCTAACCATGAGGGAGCAGGTGGGCCCGGGGAGGAGGGGCTCACTGCTGGCCCAAGGGCTGACGCGGCGGGAAGGGTACACTATTCACTCGCCAGGGGCCTGACTCATCTCTCGGCCAAGCCGAGCCGCAGCACTGATACCGGAGTGTGGCTTATCTGGGGAACGCACAGCCCCTTGATGGGCACGGGAGGTTTATACTCCCTGCTGCAAGTTCCGACAGCTGTCAGAATCCGCCCCCGGCTGCAACAGGTATTCATGAAAGAACGGAAGGGGTGAATTGGACACACTGGGGAAAGGAGGGGAACGTTGCTGTCTGTGATGGCTCTACCACTCCCTGAAACCAGAACGAAAGACAAAACTAGTGGGGAGGGACAGGCAGGCAGGGCGTTCTAGAACCTCCTTAGCCACTGTCGAAGTCACCAAGTCCTGGCTGAGCCTCGGTGTGGCTGCATTCATGTTCTCACCCAAGGTTCAGGCAGCCACTGCATGGCCCTTTAGGGTGGAAAGCCTTCTGCTGGCTCGGCCTGAGGAAAGCCAGCCGAAGGCCTAGTAGGTGTGAGATGAGGTGTGAGTGAGGAAGTGAGCCCGGAGCCAAAGTCCTAAGTGCCTTTCCCCTTCCCAACCCAGCTCTGCCTCCATCTCCAGGAGGAGAGGCGTGCAGGCTGGGGCCTGGGCGGGGGCCACGCTGATTTGCACAGAGTCCTGTGCATCCTGGCCTGACTGGGCAGGACTGGAGAGGGAGGTTCTTTTACAAACTGGGATAATTAGACCCTTGAAGGATTTAATTCTTATTCTAGTTTGTCTCAAAATTCCTTGGGGGGAGAGTTCCTCCGGTGTGGAATCCTCTTGGTCCTGTCTGTTTGCTTAGAGGCCACTGATGGCTTCTAGGAAGCACAACCAAAAAGCGGAGTGGAGAGTGGAGAAGACAGAGAACTCGAGTCGGCCAACCTGACTGCAGTCAGAGTCCCCACCGGTGCTCACGAGACAAAGCTGGAAGAGGGGAAGGGGCGGACTATTTAGCCCTGATCCTCCCCCACTGAGGCTTTCAGTCATCTACGAATCCTAGCCTTCGAGGACCAAGAATCTTCACCCTGGATGCTCGTGTAAGTGAGCGAGTAGTGGAAGGTTCCTGGGAGCAGAGCTCTCCTCCCACGTCCTTTTGCAGCCCCCAGCGCCCAGCACAGCCCAGGTGTGCGGCAGGCTCATGGTCTGTGCGCCAGCCCAACGTGTGCACTTAGGAGAAGCCCCTGATTTCATCCAAGAACTAGAAGGAGAAACAAACATAAGATCCCGCTCCCCCCCTCCCCCGACCTCAAGCTTCCAAACCTACAGATTAAAAGCCACAGAGAGTCTGTTTTCATTTCACTGAGAAACCATTCTTGGGTCCAAAAGCTATTTTTGTGCCTTTTTGGGAAATAACTAAGTCCACTGCCTGGGGCAAGCTCAAGGCTGCGGAGGTTGGCAGAGGTGGCCCCGGGGGCAGGGCATGCCCCGGGAAGCCCCTTCTGGGTCTGGTCCTCGAGGGTGTGAGGAGTTTCAGCCATCTGCCACTCTCCCAGAAGCCAAAAGGCTCCTAAGTGTAAAAGGAAGCCTGCGCATCTAAACCCCAAATCCAATCACCACTGTATACAAAAGAATTAAGAGCCACTCTAGAAACTGTAAAGCCAGTGTTAATTTAGAGCCTCGGAGCTGGGATCACACAAAGCTGGCTGCCAGCCGTAGACATCTTACTGAACAACGCCAGATGTTTAGAGGGGGGGCTCCCCAGGCACGGCGGGGCACACGCTCCCATCTGGGCACCGGCAGGGCTGGGGCTCAGCTCAGGGCTCTCAGAGAGCAGAGCGGACACTCTCCCCCGGCTCCCTCCTGCAGGCTGGGCTCACCCAGCGCTCAGGCAGCCTGGAAGCAACTCCACTCAGCCTGGCCCTCCAGGGATTCGGGGTGGGGTGGGGGGTGTGGGAGAGGGACACACAGGTCGTTTCTGAGCCATGTGCCTGAGGGATCTGCCTGAAAAAAAGGCTTTCCCAGTGGGTGGGCTCCTCCACCAGCCCTGAAGCAGCCATGTGAGAGTCGGGGAGCTGATGGGAGGGCGACCACCAGGAAAAGGAGAGAACACCAGAGTTTCTCCCCTAGTGTAAAGGACATGGGAGGTCGCAGAGGTAAGTCAAAACGGGATGGATTCTTCAACTAATCTCAAATCTGAGGGAAACACAGCCAGCCAGCGACCGGGGCTCCGAGGTCGGCCAGGCTGAAGCTTTTCACTCCCATCCTGAGACCACCTGAGGAGCTCAGGGCCCGGGTGAGTGTGGGGCGCAATCAGAACTGGACCCAGAACTGGAGCCCGATCTCCCACCTCACAGACCCGCACTCTGTCCCTCCCAAGACGCCACTGTCCCCTGCTGAAGAAAGGAGCTCAGGCGGCCTCGGGGGAGGTGTTTCAGAGTTCCCAGCTCTGCGCGCGGGGTTCACCCCACGGCCGTCTCCAGAGGCTGGTCCGGGGGAAGCACGTGCGTGGCTCAGAAGGGCCAGGAGGCCGGGGCGCCCTCACACCTGCACAGCAGGGCCTGGCCTCTGTGGGCTCAAGGGGCGCCCCCTGCAGGCATCGGGAAGGGATGAGAAACCTGGTGGAAGCCGGAAGGGCTGGGAAGGGCTGCTCTCCAGACCCAGAGGTGGGTGGGGGCTCCCATGGGGGCTCCCTCACAGGACGGGGCTGGTCTCTCTCAGAAGACGACTGCTCGAATCTGCACTGGGTCCTGGGCCAAAGGCCTGACCTATCAAAGTGAGCGGTTCCCGGCCAGGGCTCCTGGTGATGCTGTGACGTGCCCACCTGCTCAGCTCGGCCTGTCTGCCCGGCGCCCAGGCCCTGGGCCAGGCCTCCCCCGGCCAGGGCGCCGCCCAGCTCAGACAGGGCTGCACGTCTGGGCTCCCACTCTCGCCACACACCCTGGATTCCAGACACCGCTCTGGCTGCACACGACAGACACGGGGCACAACACATCCACCAGGACAGGGATTCACGTCACACTGCACGAAGCACACACGTCCTACAGCACAACGGACGCACAGACAGGTGGCTGAGCCGGGGACAGAGGACCCCGGGCTACCCCTCGCCAACTCCTAGAACAAAGGCTGCGCATCCTGACTGTCCCTTTCCCCAGCACCCCCTGTGCCCCACATGGGCACAGAAGTGAAAGGCAAGAAAGAAGCCAGATTCCAGCTTCCCAGGCAGGCCTAGGGGCTGCTGCTTGGGCTCTCTGGGCTGTAACCGAACTTTTTATAGGTTACAATTACCTGATATGAGATGAGTCACAACCAGATTGCAAGGACCCAGTGGGCTGGCCTCCCAAGCACACACAGGTAAAACACAGTAGATACAACAAAGCCCCAGCGTCCAGCGGCTCCTGGTCAGTGGCTGCGCAGCCCCGGCTGGGGGTTAGAAGCCAAGCAATGCCGTGCTGGGGGGCACACAGAGGGTGAGATGTCTTCTGCGGAGGGGTCCTGCGGCAGGACAGGCCGGGAGGAGGGGGGGGCCCACTCACATGGGCATCGACATCACAGCAGGTGGGGCACGGCACAGCGGAAGCCTCGCTCTGCCCGCAGCTACTCGGAAAACGGCGGGAACATGCCCAGGTCGGCAAAGTCTTCGATGTTATAGTTGCCCGTCCCCTGGGTTGGGTCTCCTGGCATGGGTAGCATGTCCTGCAGGAGAGAAGAAAAGAGAGGGCAGGGGAGTCGGCTCATCCTTCCAGCACTGGCACGTCCCAGGAGCCCAGACTGCCAGCCACCCTCATGGTCATCTCTCTAACGGAGGTGGCCCAGGAATACGCCCTGCCATCTGAGGGGGCTCGGCGAGGGTCCTCAAATGCTTGAGGCCCTGGGAAGCTGTTCCCCCCACCCCAGGAGCTGTCATTCTAGCAGGTAAACACAACTTCAGGACACAACCTTTGTCTCTTTAAAGGTGAGCCAGGACACAGGGTGGACAAGAGCCCCACTTGTGGGGAGGATCCAGCTTGGTTCCGAGCAAGGTACACACAGTCAATGATCCAAACGCAACAGCACTGCCATACGGGGGTGGGCGCAGGAGGAGGGCCACGCGCACGGAGGGGATCTGCGTGGCAGGTCCTCACCGTGAACATCCAGGCCAAATCTCTGCCTGGTTAGACTTCACTTTTAATAAGTCCTTCAAGGTCTTTGGGCCTCAGATTACCCCTCCAGAAAATGGGACTAGCTACATTTCAGTCCCTTATTGCAAATTTCCCAAAGTGTGTTGTGTCAAATTCTTGGCCCATGAGATACACTGAGAGAAAAGAATTCTGTGGACGAATAAGTTTGTGAAACAAGGTGTACTCTGCCTACCTCCTAAAAATCCTTAGTCCTCATTAGTATAATAGAGGCTCTGATCAGTCCTGCAGCCAAGAAACTGAATAACTTTGTTTAGTCAAGGTTTCACAAACTGATTTCCCCAAGAATTCTTTTTAGCTGTGTGACCACGACGAGCCAGGTTAGGGAATTCTGCCTTCCATGGTGACTGTGAAGCATAAGGATGGGCCAGGGCTGAGCTTTTCAGATAGAGGAAGTGGGGGCAATCATCACAGGTCAGGGGAGGTCAGGCAAGGGCCTGGGTGAGGCACTTCTCTGAATATGTAAAAGGATTCTGCCCCTTTGGGTTCCTGGAGTGACATCTGAGTTCTAGACCTTTGTGAAGCTGCTGCTTGACCTCGTGGGAAAGAAGCTTGGAAGAGGGTGGGGGTAAACAGAAAGCTCTCCCTTGACAAGGGGGATTATAGTCCTAGGAGTCTCAGAGCCCTCCCACCATGTGCTTCCTGCTTCATCCTCACTTTGCGGGGCAGGCCTGAGGATCTGGAAGAGGATGGAAGGTGCCTGGGCTCTTGTTACAGGATGCTACTCCCTCACGAACACCCGGGGGGATGGATGGGGCGCCAACAGGCACAGCCCCCCACGTGGAGCCTTTCAGAGAGAAATTCTGGCTGAAAGTGGAGCCACGAACACCCTGAGGGGGCCGAGTCCTGCGCTGCGGGGCAGCCAGCGGTGTCCACGGCTGCTACACACTCAGGTCAGGGCTGCCCGAGGCGCTCGGGATGGGCCAGGGATGTCTCAAACAACGGAGCGTTGCAAGGTGCCCTGGTAGCCTCAACCAGCAACACCTGCGCTTAACTCAGGAGAGGAGCCAAGCCTCCTACTGCTGAAACTCTGAGTCAGGGCTGCCGCCTGCCCCAGGAGGGGCCAGAACTCACAATCGCTATCAGCAGTCGGTGCTGTGGCCGAGACCAAGGGGGAAAGGAAGCAGAGAGAAGGCGCCGGTACCTACGAGAAGGCGGTGCTCGCTGATTTACCTGGAACACTTCAGTCTGACCGGGCTGCTGGTGGGAGTGCTGCTCACCGCTCTGCTGTCCGTGGTGCTGGCTTTGCCACTGCGACCAGACTTCCGAGGGCCGCCCTTGGAACTGCCCGCTACTTTGTCCACTTTCAGCTGAAAGATCCGACGTACAGGACACTTCCTTTAAAAGCCATCCCGTGGCTCCGTGAGACCTAAGAACCACTGCAGCCCAGAGGGCCCCGCATTTCTGAAAGGTGCGGTCCATCCGAGCTGGCTGACTGTGTTCGCCGTCCCCTCTGTCTCACACTGACTGATAGATAAGAAGTTGGTTTTGCAGCTGAGAGCTGGATGGGTGAAACAGATATGGGAGGTTTCTGCCAAATGGTGCAGGCACTGGGTGGAGAGGGTGACTCTCCCCAGGTGTGCCCGCTGAGGGAGCAGGGCCCACAAGCCTGAGAGCCCTCGGCGCCCTCTTTGGTCACTAATGGAGGCTCGCCCCCACGGGCCATGTCTGTGGGCCGAGAAGGGAGAGGCAGTCCCTGCCACTCCGGAAGCCCCCTCGGCTCACGGGCTGCTCTTTAAAGGAACCTGGCCCCACCAGAGGAAGAGCCTCACGTCAGCACGCCCCGACCTCCGCTGGCCTCACTGCCTTTTGGGTAACTCGGCTGAAGCCACACACGGCGCTTCACAAGGCCCTTCCACGGGGCCCAAGAGCCACGCCCTTTCCGCCTGTCTCCTTGGCTGAGTGCTTCCTAGTACCAGCCGGTTCGAGAGGAAAGGTACTTGGGCGCAGCTCAGACAAGAAGACAGGTCTCTTCGTGGGAAATGGCAAATTAATTTGTAATCGAGAGCAGCCTTGCTTCTGTCTACACTTCACAAAGAATTCCCAATGGAAAAACGAACTAGGAAACATGAGCAGAATGTTGTTTAAAACATTTTAAAGATTCAACTCAAATGGATTAGTTTATCCTAAGGTGCATTAAGAAAAACTGCAAGAATTTTTTTCTTGTTCTAAATCATCCAATGACATTTTGGAGGCAATGGGCTTACTGTCAAGCTCAGGGTGGCAGGACAGGCCCCATCTTGGCCCATGTGCTCTTTCAAGTCATGCTGACCACAGGCAGCCCCTCCCACCCGATGAGTGGGCACTGGGTTAATCTAGGGGAAGGCTAGACGGTATTCAGGGGGAAGATCAATCCTTCTCTCCCTCCCTCTCTCTCTCACACACACACATCTTACCTACTGCCTGAGACATAAAGGGCTTTAAGTAAACACATACGCATCCTTTAATGTCTCACCACTGATGCTTTTCAAACTCCGCATGATGATACTTGGTAGAGGGCTCTATGAAATCAGGAAAGGATACAATTCCCTATTTCAGCACAAGAGGGATTTAAATCTACTGAGCACATAGGATTCTGTTTTTTTTTTTTTTTTAAAAACCACATCTGGCTTCGCTGAAATGCCTTTCGTGACACTCTGTCATGAGACTCCATGGGCCAGGAGGGACTCTTCATAGAATCGCGTCCACTGGCCTGATTTGGGAATGGAACAATGTAGAACAGTTCTGGTTCAGAACTGTGGCAAAATTAAATGTGCTGCAGCCCCAGCTAGAGCAGCGAGGGGAGTCTCACTGGACAGACACCTGCCCTATTCTGGAGACCCAAGAGGCCGAGCAGGAGCTGGACCACCTGTGGCTCAGAGGCAGGAGGGATGGACACAGCCACCTTTGCTGAGGCCAAGGCTGGGGTGGACTATGGGGACTGTCCTCACATACTCAGAAGTGACTGCCTTTCAGGAGTTCCTTGGCTTCCTCTGGGATCTTCCTATGACAGTGATTCCCTGCTGGAGTCTTGCCCATCATGAATTAATTCTCTCAACCCTTCCTCTCTGTTGTGGCCTGAACTGTGTCCCCCAAATTGGTCCGTTGAAGGTCCAACTGTCAGTATCTCAGACTGTGACTGTGCTTGGAGAACGAGTCTTTAAAGAGGCAGTTACGGTGAAATGAACTCACGCAGGTTAGCCCGAATCAGTATGCCTGGTGTTCTTACAAGAAGCAGCAATTCGGACACAGGCACACAGAGACAGAGGACCATCTACCAGGCAAAAAGAGGTCTCAGAAGAAACCAGCCCTGCTGACGTCTTGATTTCAGCCTTTCAGCCTCCAGAGCTGTGCGAAGACAGGTAGTAGTGCTTTGTCTGGCTGCCCTGGCCGACTGCCCCAGTCTGTAGTGCTTTGTATGGCTGCCCTGGCCGACTGGTATGCCCCCCTCAAGCTACGGGTCTACCTCTCCTTCCCTTTGCCATCAAACTTCTAAAGCTGTCCATACACACAGCGTCTTTTCCCCTTTCCCTCCCTTTCCTCGACCCCCTGCAATCAATCACTCTACAGCCACGTCTGTAATTCCGAGCCCAGCCCAGCAGAAACTCAGAGTTCTCACTGCTAAGCTCTCCTGGGTCTCCACACTCATGACCACCATCTCTTTGAAATTGTTCGGCTAGCTTCTCGGACTACATGTGATTTTGGTTCCCCCATCTCCTCTGCGACTCCCTGTTGGGTGCCCCTGGTTCTTACGTACGTCTCTGTCCCTTAGTGGCTGAAAGCAGAGGTGCGAGTGAGTTAGGCTTTCCTTTCCATCAGCAGGCGAGACGGGGCAATCCTCCCATCCCCATGAACTAACTCATCTATTTATTCATTGGGCACGTGTTGCCCGAGCTCCGACTCTGAGCCAGGCTCCACACACAGGTGTACTGCACGTACCCCGGGAAGCCAGACAGCTCCCATCTCAGGCAGCGCACAGTGTGGTCGGGAGAGAGGAGTAAACAGGTATTTCCACGCAGTTGTGAGCGGCTCTGCGAGGGTTAAGCAGAGGTAGAACAGAAACTCTTAGCTCCCTAACCTAGTCATGGCAGGTAGAAAGCGCTCTTCAGAGACCTCACTCGAGACCAGAAGGGGCATGGCTTGCAGTTCCCTTCTTCACTTCTCTTCTCTGTAACCCCAGCCTCTCCCACCCATCACACGCCCATGGTTGGACGCCCCCCATGCCACACACCGCGCCATCTCTGTGCTTTGCACAAGCGCCCTCTGTCGTGTAAGTCCTTCCCCTTCTCTGTGCCTGCACGATTCACTTGTGCTCAAAGCCCTGACGGAATGTGGCCTTGCACGACCGTGACCCTCAGTCACCCTCTCCGCAGAGCTCACCTGCGGCCCTTGTCTGGTCCCTCGGGAGGGGCCCACCACACTAGGATGACTCAGGCTGTGAGTAACGTAAGGCAAGGGTCATAGCTACGTCCGTCCCAGGACTTACTGAGTATAGTGCTTAGAATAAAGGAGGCTTCGACAAGTGTCTGCTGAAGGAAAGAGTAACAGAAGGGAAAGGGGAGAAGAAGGAAGAGACGTGAACATTCCTAAACTTTTATGTCTATTCGCATTAGCGGCTGCGCAGACAGAGCTGCCTTGTAATGAAACAAACACACATTCCTTCATCCGTCTTCCTCAGTGACAGCCAGAGACAGGCACAGAGGAGCGGGGTGAAGACGACAGAAGGATGAACTTTCTGTTTGTGTCTGGGGTTGATTCTGTTAACTGTAGATACAAGATTTCAGAATAAAAATTCCTAAACTTCTGAGAAGGGACATGCTCTTCTTAAATGTGTGCAATAGAAAAAAAGTCAATGAACTGGACTGCTTTCGAAACGGCGTAAGATAGTTGAGAAGGGAGGGGATGGTCTTAGTATTTTTGGAGCCCTGACGATGTGCTAGACTTCGTGCTAAGCACTTCCCACACATCATTTCATTTCCTCTTCACTCTAAGAGATGGGTCTACTGTCCACATTTTTTCAGATAAGGAAATTGGGGCTCAAAGATGTCAAGAAATTTGCCCAACTCATTTAGCTTCTAAATGCCAGAGCCAGGGTTTGAACCTGGATCTCTTTGACCCTGAAGCCCACATGCATTCATTTGATACATCTGGTGTTTTCAGTGAGCGCTTACTACGCACCTGACACCGAGCAGTGTATTGGGGAGACAATGGATTGCAATGGTCCGATCCACTGAGAAAGACAGATGAATCATTAGGTAATTGGAATTGTTAAGAGGGCTTGCAAGGGAAGCCCAGGTAGCGTGGAAGGACAAGGGAGCGGGACCGAGCTCAGCTGGCATCTTCCTGGAGAAAGTTACATTCGAAGATGCCCTGCAGGATGAGATCACCCATTGTGTCAGGCGACAGTTCAAGGGGAAAGGCCTCCACTCGGCCCCTGCTACTGAATTCTTTACTGAATTGCACTAGTGACCTTCCTGACTGAAAAATGAGTAACAGCTACAACGTAGCTTCTCCCGGGTGACAGAGCTGAGTGTCTCAGCCTAAACCCTGGCCCTGGCTGACCAGCACTGCACACAGACAGTGAGCAAGGATGTGCATGGCCTGCCCCCAAGATGTACCCATAGCCTCTTTCTGGAAAAACAAACAAAAAAAACCCCCAAAAAACCGATGATCACCAACATCTTTCTGTTGCCTAACTGTTCCCAAAGCCACATGTACGGCTGCAAACCACGAGCTGGCGTCTAGCCAAGCTGCGTTTCTTTAGCTCCGTGGGCTTCCTGAGCAACGCCTAGGCTGCCATAGCCCTGGCAGAAAGCACGGGCCACCTCCCAGGCCAGGGGTCCAAACAGAATGTACTACCGGGCTGCCACCAGCTGCGCCAGCTGGGCGGGCTTTCAGACCAAAGGTCAGAATCTTGAGGTGCCTGTAGATTCCAGGTTGTAGAAGAAAGGGGACAGCATCTTCCTTGAAAAAAAAATTAATGGCGCTCAATGCTGTCATTTCACTCTTGCTAACGTTTCCCTTGTGAGATCCATCTGATTCGGAAATTGCCCTAAGCTTCAAGTTTCACTTGAAGTCCTGCTCAGAGGTCCCATGTGGTAGGGCTTAGCTCAGTGGTTCCCAAGCAGGGGCGGTTCTGCCCACACCCCCCCCCACCCCAGAGGACATGTGTCAATGTCTGGAGGCACTTCTCAGCGTCATTAAGTGAAGAAGCACTGGTGAGCGGCAGCCAGGGATGCTGCTAGACTCTGCATGAACAAACACAGAATTATCTGGTGTAAAGTGTCCACAGCGCTGAGGGTGGGAAACCCTGGATAAAGTCAGCGAGACC